TGTCTTGTTGGACAAGTTGGAATAATGTTTAGGAGTCTTATTTAAAGGGTTCCCCATCTATTGTTTTATTTAGTTGATTATGAATAAAAGATGAATTGATATTGTGAGTTTTGCGTGTTTTACGAGAGAGTATTTCGTTTACTCGTTTATCCTTCTCAATCGTTCACGCTTCCCTACATCACTTTATTAGTAGTGAACTCACCATCAATATGGTGGAGGCAACCACGGCCGGCCGTCAACCCCATTTCCGTTCGGGCTGCAATGCTAAATTTAAGTATAAATTAATGAAGGATTTTTAACCATTATCAAATCTCCTCCTCTCATCTTCCCATCGGTGGAGAAACCACTTGCAATAATAAGGCTAAAATTATTTCTAGTTCTGACTTTTGGATGTTTGTGCAATTTTAGCCCTCTATTATAGGTATGTGGCACATTTAGTCCCACAATTAATTTTCTTTACGCAATTTAAGTTCTTCTCACGTCATTTTTGGGGATTTTTGGCCGGAAATTGTACGTGCCAGCAACGTGACTCATTTTCGCCCGATTAATGTCGACGTGGCTTGCACCCTGCGCGACGTGGATAATAAAAACAATAAAAAATGAAAAAAAAGGAAAAATGCGATGGCGAAGTAAATTTCCACCTCAGACGAAATTAGAGGGAAAATGGAGGGTCACTCATATACGAGATTAAACTAAAATGAGAAAAGAAAGCAGGCGGTCATTTTCGATTACAAACAAATCTCTCCTTCTAATTCCATCCCAAATTTATGCAAAATCCAAAATTATAGATGTCCGTTCCTGAGTTTATCTATGGAGACAAAAATCAAAATCAGATCGAAAAGTTACTGGGATTTTCCCAATCCAAGCTACGGTATGTTATTCGATTTTTTTCCAAACCCTAGTCGGTTTTTAGGGTTCTTTATTATGAGTTTGAAATCATGTTCCCCCGATTTTAGGCTTGTTTATTCCAAATTAGTTGACCCCATGTGCTATTATGTTTCTCTGTCTGTTTTGAAAATAGTTTCCCCACCTGTTTTTGTTATTATATTAGGTGAATATTTATTGTCTATTTTTTTTTCTTTCTATATGCATAGATCGAAGTACTGACCTAATCACTGTCATCTTGTGGTGTGGTGGTAAATTTCAGAAGTCAGACTTTGGAGTGTATGAATGTGGCCATAAAATGGTGTTTGATTTTGTACCTACTAATGAAATGTCTGAAAAGAAACTAAAAATATTTTCCACAAAATTTGGCGTGGTTGGTGATAGAAGATATTTCATACAAGTTGGGTTGAATCTGAGAAGGATAGAAGGGATGATGACATTAGAATTTGGGCAAAGTGCTACTTATCTGAAAGGGAGTTAACTGTATTTGTTGAAGTTTTCAGCACTTCTGAACCTTCTAATTTGTCTGTTGAAGGTAGCTGGGTGGATTTAGATGAGAGTGACAGTGATACTGAGAGTGGGAGTGAGAGTGGGTCTGAGAGTGAGGGTGGGGATAATGTTTTTGGTGTAGAGGGTGTTACTCAAGAGGATAATCTGGTTGGGGTTGGTAGTGGGATCGTGAGTCATAATGATGTAGGTGATGATAATATTACTGGTGTATAGAGTGTTATTCAAGAGGATGATGTTGTTGGGGTTGGTAGTGGGATTAGGAGTCATAATGATGTAGGTGATGATAATATTGCTGGTGTAGAGAATGTTACTAAAGAGGATAATCTTGTTAGGGT